ACCATTCCCTTCTCCAGGGAATCTTCCCGACCCAATATCAAACCCAAGTCTTCTGCATTGCAGGTAGATTCTTTACTCTTTGAGCCACCAGGGAAGAACTTATGCATACAAAGCTCATGCCTAATTGCTCTTTTTGTTTTTCAACCAGCTAGAATTTATTGAGAACCTTCTTTCATCATGTACCATGCTAGGTACCAGGATAATAAGGATTTGTAAGATGCCTCTTCAGTAAACCAGTAATTCCAATTACAATAGCATAGGTGCAATATTAGAAAAATATTTGGATACTTTGATAGAGAAGAAAAGAGTCTGGAGCATTTGAAGCTTTGCTTCATTAGACTATTCTTTTTTAAAAAGAATCATGAATTTTTATTAATTTTTACACAAACACATTTTTACATTCAGTGACATATGTTTTTCCTCTTCATCTATAAATATGATAGAATACAGTTATCTGCATTAAATTTTTTATAAGTGAGATAATGAAAGCTTTTACATAAAGTTAAGCCAGATTAGAATTGTATTGACTTCAACTTTTTACATCAAAGTGTAGTTTATATATAATATTCTATAAATTACAAGTGTACAATATAGTGATTCACAATTTTTAAACATTATAGTGCATTTTTAGTTATTATAAAATATTGGCTATATTCTCTGTGTTGTGTAGTGTATCTTTGCAGCTTATTTTATACATAGTACTTTGTATTTCTGAATCCCTTGCTCTATATTGCTCCTCCCCCTTCCCTCTCCTCACTGGTGAACACTAGTTCTCTATATCTGTGAGCCTGCTTCCTTTTTGTTATACTCACTAGTTTGTTGTATTTTTTTAGATTCCACATATAAGTTATATCATGTAGCATTTTGACTTCAATTTTAATATCACTATAATTCTGTTATCATTCCTGTTAACTGAAAATCAATGTTTGATTACAGGACTCTCTAAAGAATCTTTAAAATTTAATGTTTAAAATGTATTGTGTACCTCATCAACAGCTTATATTATTATTAATTTAAAAATTGTGAAATTTTCCTATTTTAGTCATTTTTAAATGCACAACTCAGTGGCATCAAGTACATTTACTTTGTTTTGCGACCATTATCACTATCCACGTCCAGAACACTTTTCATCTTGCAAAATTGAATCTTTGTACTTTATACCCATTAAACAGTAATTTCCCATTCCTGCCTTCTCCCCACCCCTAAAAGTCACCATTCTTCCTTCTGTCTCTATGAATTCAACTACTTTAGATACTTCATATAAGCGGAATCATACTATATTTGTTCTTTTGTGACTGGATTATTTCATTTAACACAACGTCCTCAAGATTCATCCATGTTGTTGCATGTGTCAGAATTTCATTCCTTTTGAAGGCTGTGAGTAATATTTCTTTGTATGCATATACCACATTTTGCTTATCCATTTGTCTGAGGATAGACACTTTGATTTATCTTTAGGCTGCTGTAATACTGCTTCATAATTGATAAACAAATATCTGAGCCCCTGTTTTCAATTCTTTTGGTTGTAGACCCAGAGATGAATTACTGAATCATATTTTTAATTTTTTTTTTTTTAGAAACTGCCATACTATTTTCCATAGTGCCTCCACAATTTTACCTTCCCACCAAGAGTACAAGTGTTCCTCTCAAATCCCCTCAAATACTTGATCCTTTCTGTTCTTTTTTTTTTTTATAGTAGCCATCCTAATGGATGTGGGGAGGTATCTCACTGTGTTTTGATTTGCATTTCCTTAGTAATGTTGAGCATCTTTTCATGTGCTTATTGGTCATTCATAAATCTTCTTTAGAGAAAGGGGTATTCAAGTTCTTAGCACATTTTTAAATCAGATTGTTTGTTTGTTGTTGTTGTTGTTGAGTTGTAGGAGTTCTGTATATAATCTAGATATTAACCCCTCATCAGATATATGATTTGCAAATATTTTCTCCCATTCCATGGATTGCCTTTCACTCTGTTGATTGTATCCTTTGATGCACAGAAGTTTTAAGTTTTGATGTAGTCCAGCTTATCTACTTTTATTTTGTTGCCTGTGCTTTTGATATAAAGTTCAAGAAATCATTGCCGAATTCTGTGTCATGGAACTTTTCCTCTATGTTTTCTTCTAGGAGCTTTATAATTTTAGCTCTTCCATTTAGGTCTTTTATCCATTTTTAGTTAAATCTTTTAGTATGGTGTAAAGTAAGGGTTCAACTTCATTCTTCCACAGGTGGATATCCAGTTTTCTCAACAAGACTATTCTTTCCAAGTTGTATGGTCTTGGCTCCTTTGTTGAAAATAATGTAACCATATATATAAGGTTTTATTTCTTGGCTCTCTATTTTATTCCATTTATGTATATGTCTGTCTTCATGCAAGTACTATATTGTCTGGGTTACTGTACCTTTGTAATGTTTTGAAATCAGGAAGGGTGAGACTTCCTGTTTTTTTGTTTGTTTAAGGCTGCTTTGGTTATTTGGATTGCTTGATATTCCATATGAATTTTAGTATGGATTTTTCTATTTCTTAAAAAGGGAAGTCTTTGAGATTTTGAGACTGTCATAGAACTTTTGAATTATTTCTTAAAAGAAACATTAGCCAGACAGATAAAAGGAGGAGGGGCTTTTAGACAAAAGGAAGGGTATAACAAAAAGCATGGAAAGATAAAAGAGCTTAGTATATTTGGGGAACTGAAAGTAATTTAGTATTTTTAAAGTTTTAGGCATATTTCTATCTCTGTGTATATGTGTAAGAGTGTAGACTTGATTAGGAGATGAATTAGGAGCTAAAATACAGTTCATATATTGTGAAAGTAGATATGTGTTGTTAAGAAGTTTAATGAGGATTAGTTGAAGGGTTGGACTATGGAGTGAAGTGATCAGATTTGTACTTTATAATCTTGTTGGTGAGAGTGGGTGCTAGGTTGAATAGGAAGAGTTATTGGCAGAAGCATCAGTTAGGAAACTATTAGAAAACTTACAGAAATGAAATGAGATTTGCACTATAGTAAATCTTGATGGGGATACAAATGAGGGAATGGACCTGAAACAGCTTTGTCCCACTACATACTCCATTTTCCATTGACCTCACTTTCTTCCTAGGTCCTGAAGTCCTCAGACCTTCAGTTCAGAGTTCAGTCTCTGAACTCAGTATGGTGGTTCCAAGCCTTCACCTACATCATCTAGTTGTCACCATTTAGGAACTCAGATGGCGTTGAGGGCTCAGAGATACAGGGGTCCCTAAGCAGTATCTAGCCCCCTCTCAGAGCCCCCTAGCTCCCACTCCTCATCCCGCTTCTCTCTAGGCCTCTGGCTGCTCCAAGGACCTTACATTGGTTTCTGTCTTACCTGCGGGTTGGCCTGTCTTTCTTTGCTTTAGTCTTCCATAAGCCCGTTGGAATTCATCAAAGTGAGAGTTGCCTTATCTGTTGTGACCTATTCCATCCACCTATGGAACTGTGGTTCTCCAAGCCCTCTAAATGTGATCCATGTTACCAATGTCTGTGACCTATCTGAGAACCTGTTTCTTCTGCAAGGACTGGAGCTTTCTGCTTCTCTTACTCACCCCAGGGCTTCCCTGGTGGCTCAGCTGGTAAAGAATCTGCCTGCAATGCAGGAGACCTGGGTTCAATCCCTGGGTTGGGAAGATCCCCTGGAGAAGAGAAAGGTTACCCACTCCAGTATTCTGACCTGGAGAATTCCATTGACTGTATAGTCTGTGGGGTCACAAAGAGTCAGACACGACTGAGTGACTTTCATTTCACTTCACTACTTTCCCCAACCTGACATCCCTCCATACCCTGTGACTCAGTTTCCTGTTTTCAGCTGGAGAGTGGCATTGAATAGGAATCATTAAAATCTTTGCCACTTGAAATCCTCAGCTATCTGCCAGGACTTCATTGAATCAATTCGGTAATGATAATGCTGGGCCTGAGCAACAGCATCAGCTGGGGAAAGAATGTGTTCTCCCAGCCAGAGGCTGAGCCACTGAATACTGAGATCCCAAGTTCTTGTTTAGTGATCCAGTTCCTTTGATGGGTAGTTCATAGCACTGCCTGTGTGTTTGGTTGGCCCACCACTGTCACAGTGGAGTCATGGAGCTAGGTGCAGGGAGCATGCTTGAGCTCCCAACTTCTTAGGGGCATTTTAGAACTGGAACCACTTTAGCAGTTCTAAAATAGCCAGCTCTGACCCATTTCCAAGAATCCACATCTGGTGATATGTGGGATGAGGCAAACTGATCAAAGTACCCAAGTGCCAACAATACAGGCGAAAGCAGAGCCAAGTGAAGAGCAGGCCGTGGCTTGGGGTTAAAATGCAGTGACTAAAATGACGATGGACTGCACCTCATAGACAAACCAGCGAGAATGAAATGAAACATATCACAGAAAGATGAGGGAGAAGTGTTAAAATGGGAAATTGGAAAGAGATGGGGAAAGAGAAGGGCTTCTCAGGTGGTGCTAGCAGAAAAGAACCCACCTGCCAATGCAGGAAACATGGGTTCGATCCCTGGGTCAGGAAGATCCCCTGGAGGAGGGCATGGCAATCCACTCCAGTACTTTTGCCTGGAGGATCCCATGAATAGAGGACCCTGGTAGGCTATAGTCCATAGGTCGCAAAGAGTCGGACATGACTAAAGTGATTTAGCATGCATGCATGCCGGGAAGAGAAAGGAGAAAGGCCAGGAAAAAATGATTTAAGGAGTTACTGCTTCTTTGAAAGCCAAGAAGCTGTTACAGCAAGGTGAATAAGACCTCAGGTCTTTGCAGCCCCCTGGCTGGGAAATTGGACTGACTTTTGTTCTTGAGTCCAGGCTACCTGGAACACAGCTTCAGGAAATCAGAACGTGTTCTCATCACTCACTTTGTGTTCCCAAACAGAAGAGAAGAGAGGGAGGGTGGCCACCTTGATCCAGCTAAAGCATCTCCAGGAGGCCTTCTCTGGATGTCACATCGAGGCTGCCCTTCTGCCACAACACGGAACTGGTGATCCCCGAGCGCATGGACATGGCTTTGCTCAGCAATATCCTAGCCGCCTATTCCTTTGTCTCAGGTAGTTGTCCAGGCTCAGCTGGGCCAGGTCTGAGGCCTTGGGCTGGGCAGAGTCATCTCCTGAGTGGCCAACTCTGGCCTTTTACTCAGGAGAAAAATGGTATGCAGACTTAACAGAGGGGCTCTGTGTTACTGAGTTTTGAATGGACAGTCTTCTGGTTTGAAAGTTAAGTTTTCTCTAATTTGGCAAATGGGAGGAGTTCTAAGAGCTTTATATAATGTTTGGTTTCCTTTTGGGCTCAAGTGAGTGAGTGAAGTGGCCTGGGGCTGCTTTGGCTTCTGTCATTAAGCATTTAACTCTAATATGAAAGGCCAGAATAGAGTATCCTCATCCTGATTTTTTCTAAGCAGTGGTTCTCAACCCTGCTTAGGGTGTGTGTGGGGGGGGGGGGGAGGGTGGCGTCTGTGTTTGGGGGGCTATGTGGAGAAGTTTGATAACTCTCTGGGAGACATGGAAACAAAAAGTATGTGAGCCGGGGAGAGTCTAATATTTGCCTCTTCGTTGATTCCAGGTTCTTTTCTTTTAGGAAGATGGCTGACTTTCTCAAGATCATTTCTTGAGAACAGGTGCTGTACATATAAAAGGAGTCATTTAAAAATACATGAAAATAAATAAAAATAAATGGGAAAAAAAATAAATAAAAATAATAAAAATACATGAAAATATACCTCAATAAAGCTGAAAATTTTTAAAAATACATGAAAATGCTCAGTAGTTTGAATGACCAAACTGATTTTCTGCTGCTTGAGTGAGTTTTTAAGCTTTGGTAGTTGACTTTTCTTTATCTTATGTCTCTATTGTATAAGAAGGAAGGGACTGAGGTTCTAAGCAGATTTCCTTTGAGAGCCTGGTTTTACTTTCTAGTTCTCTAGTCAGGGTTGACATGTGATGACCTCAGAGTTCAGATACAAAACCTGACTTTTCTATTTACAATGTCAAATCTGAGCCAGGACTGAGGATAAAGGAAGTTCACAGCTTCTCGCTGAGAGAGCATCTTGGATGACATGCAATCAGATTTTAGAATGGAAGACTTCTCAGGAGCTTGGCTGGCTCCTTAGTGGTTGGCAAGATGCAGCATGTCATCTTCACGTGTTTTGAGTCCAGGGTTCTCCCTTCTCAGCTCAGCAAAGGCTCAGGTCATCAGTCAGCTCCTCACCTCCCAAAGTGATGCTGAAAGCTCAGCTCTATAAACTGGTGCCAGATCGAATCTCAGAGAGTTTTGGATGAAGTAGAAATGGATAGCTTTGTTACTTTGCCAGGCAAAGGGGGACACAGTGGACTCCTGCCTCAAAAAACTAGGTGTCCCCACTTGGAGAACATAGAAAGTTTATAGTAATTGTTCAAAGAGGGCATGATCAGCTCATGGGCATTCTTCTGATAGGTTGATGGTAAGTAGGAGTCAGCATCATAAACTTTCAGTTTCCAACTGGTCTGGGTCTACGTACTTGTGGTCAGCATACCATTATTAACTGTTAATTTATCCCACTCTGAGGGGGGTTCCAGTATCTGAAAAACAGCTCAAAGATATTGTATGTATCTGTTGATGGGGAACCAGGACCGTGCCCCAAGGCTGAATAACTTGTTTCTCTTGACTGTTTCTCCCTGGTCTTGCATCCTCTCCCTTCCCTAATTAACAACTGCTAGAATCTACCCATTGGAATTCAGCAAAGGTCATGGAGGCTGAATGAAGGCTATTTTCTGTAATCAAAGAAATGGGAAACATAGAAAGGCTTTGTGCCCAGGAGACCCACAGGACCCTGCTCAGTATCAAAAGGAAATTCTAGTGCCAGGAGCCTCCTTACCTGGGTACTCACACATCAAAGGAATCTCAGTTCTGCTCTTTCTTCTAGGCTATTCTGGGGAGAAAGGACACTGGAGCTGGAAAAGAGATGAAACTATGGTATCATGTTTTCACAAGCAACTGAATGATGGTCTCCTCAGCTCTATAGTGAAGACCCCCAAAATGAAGTAGGGTATGGCAGGGAGGGTCTGAAGTTTTCAAGGTCTCAGATGACCCTTGCAAATAAGCTGTTGTAAGAAAATATCTTTGGTGAGAACAAACAGGCTATTGGACTTTGAAACTGTTCTCAGCACAGGAAGTACCTGGCAGATTTCCATTTTGGCCAGCATAACCCTGAGTTGTGATCATTGAATGTGGTAACTCACTGAATGCCCTGGTGTTTACCATGTGTCTTATGATCTTAAGGTGAAAGGGTACGTGGCCGTTTTTCTTCCTCCTTCAAACTTTTTCCTTCCCACTCCATATGCTGGAATTAAATATTGCTTAGGGTACAGGAGGACTTCCCTGGTGGCTTAGAGGGTAAAGCAGCTGCCCACAATGCGGGAGACCCAGGTTTGATTCCTGGGTCAGGAAGATCCCCTGGAGAAGGAAATGGCAACCCACTCCAGTACCCTTGCCTGGAAAATCCCATGAATGGAGCAGTCTGGTAGGCTACAGTCCATGGGGTCGCAAAAAGTCAGACACTACTGAGCGACTTCACTTTAGGGTACAGGAAAATAATTTTTCTTTTAAGTATGGGCTGAGATAAAAAGAGAATGCAAGGAAATGGAAAGTAGAGTAGCTAAAATAAAATGCATTAGAATTAGTAAGTAGATTTGGTGGCTAAAAATTCATTCCAAGTGTGATTTAGAACACTGCCTGACTATAAAGGAAATGAATTAAAATATTTAAAATATGAAAGTGTTGACTTAAAAAATATTCACAACCTATTAATAAAAATTGAGAGTAATATTTTATTCAGTGGAAATTTGGGGGATTTCAAGCCTGGAAGACAGCATTTCAAGTGACCCTGAGAGAACTGCTCCCAGAAGGTGAGGGAGGAGCCAAGTTATATAGAAGTTTTGCAACAAGGGGCAGGTAGTCTTAACATCAGAAGATGATTTTTAATTAAAGAAAACCAGACATTCCAAGTTAAAAAATTTAGTGCTTTATGGCAGGAAATATTTCATTTCTCAAAGGTGAATATAATATCCCCTAACCTCTCCTAGTTTCTCCCAGCTTATCAATTGCCTCATTCATGTGGTCCATCATTTCAGCAACACCCTTGCTAATACACATAATTCCCTTATTCCCGGGGGCTTCCCTGGTAGCTCAGATGGTAAAGCGTCTGCCTACAATACAGGAGACCTGGGTTCGATCCCTGGGACGGGAAGATACCCTGGAGAAGGAAATGGCAACCCACTCCAGTGTTCTTGCCTGGAGAATTCCATGGACCGAGGAGCCAGTGGGCTACAGTCCATGGGATCACAAAGAGTCGGACACGACTGAGCAACTTCACTCACTCCCTTAGTCCTGTGTCTCCTTTCTGACTAAACCAACAGGCAAAATTCCAACTCTTAAGTGTATCCTTCTTTCTCCCTTTTCTTTCTCTGCACTCAAGAAACCAAACACTGTTAAAACTTTGAAGATTGAAACAATTAGAAATTCATAGAGTCCAGCCATTGCTGAGCCTAATATTGCATCATTCTTTCTCTTTGCTTTTGGATACATCTTGTTCCCATTCTTCACATTCTTCCCATTCTTCACCATTTCAAACCTTGACCATTCCAGCAATTTAAAATATCTGCTTATCAAAATGTACCCTTAGTTGGCAAATGCAACTAAGAATAAAATGTGGCATTAATGAAGAAAGGCTAAAGTTAATATGTAAAGAGCTCTTACAAATCAATAAATGTTTTAAAAGAAAAGGGGCAAAGGATAAGAATCAGCAGTTTGCCAAAGAAAAAATCCAAATTGCTGATAAACATAAGCATCTCAGGTTTTAGAAATTAAATGCAAAATGAAAATAACAGGTTAACATTTTTATTTTATAAAATTGTCAAATATTTGAGTGATTATGTTTATAATTTCAGTTTTGGAGAAAGTGTAGGGAGATGAGTATTTGCATATATGCTGATGAGGTTATGAATTGCCTCAGCCTCTCCAGAAAATGATTTGGGAACACCTGTCAAAAGCCTTAAAACAATATTTAGCCAGCAATTCCACAAGTAGGGATTTATCCTAGTGAAATAATTAAGGTTATGGGCCAAAATTTTACTGTGAAGACAGTTTGTCTCAGAACTATTTATAATAGTATAAAAAAAATCATAAAAGTAGGTGAATATTAAATAGAAAGATATTTATGATGTGCTATTAAGTAAACAAAGCCTGTTACCACACAGCATATGCAGTATAATCCTGTTAAGTGCATATGTTCATATGTATATCAATTGTATACATATGTATTTTTTTACTACAAACTGTATCTGGATGCTGGGATTGTATGAATATGTCTGTGTATTTTTAATTCTCTTTTGCTTAGCTGTATTATTAAGTATTCTATACTTCATTGATATTGCTTTTGTAGTAAGTAGTGTTATTTTATTGGAATTTAAAAATTTGATGCATATATATACCACTGCTTTACTCTTTTTCTGACTTCTCTAGCTAAGTATCTAAATGTCATGAACATTACCACTTAGATGTACCATAAGCATTTCAAATTCAGTTTGGCCTGGAATGGAATATTATCCTCTTTACATATACATATATATATATATAATCTTCTTCAGATCCTTTTCCATTATAGATTATCACCAGATGTTGAGTATAGTTTCCTGTGCTATACAGTGGGACCTTGTTGTTTACCTATTTTATACATAGTAGTATTAGTGTGTATAATTAGTATGTATAACGTATAATTAATTCCAGACTTCTACTTTATCCTTCTCTTGCCTCTTTTGGTAACCATGTTTGTTTTTTAAAATATCTATTTTTGTTTATTTATTTGGTTGTGCCAGGCCTTAGTTGTGGCACGTGGGCTCATCAGTTTTTATTGTGCCATGTGAGATCTTTAACTGTGGCATGTGGACTCTAATCCCTTGACCAGGGACCAAACCTGGGCCCCCTGCATTGGGAACATGGAGTCTTAGCCACTGGAACACCAAGGAGGTGCCTCTCAGTTTGTTTTCTGTGTCTGTGGGTCTATTTCTGTTTTGTA